CTCCAACTTTCGAAGAGGCTGCAGATGTTTTTGCCGAAAGGCGCCATCGACCAAGAATATCTTCACCCTCGAGTTCAGACGAAAATATACCGCCGAAGGGTCCCGATATCAAAATAAAATTTTCAATTAGCCGTGACGGGCTCACTTACGCCCGAGATCACTTAGTGCACTTTCTAGCAGCTGATTGCGAGATAATAAAACCCGTAGCAAAATTACTCCGAGATCTAAAATTTATAAATGCCGATGACCTCCATGCATCGAAACCTTCAAAGGGAGATGTATTCGTTACCAAATTAGGTCGTTGTAAAATCTTCACGGTATTTATCAAAACAAAACATTTTGAAAAACTAGATCCAATCGATTTAATAGAAGGATTAAGAAATCTTCGTCAATCAATGCACAAACATGATATTCATTCGCTCCGTTGTGCAAAACAGGGGGATGAATTTGATGACCTAGACATCCAGGCATATTTATCACAGGAGTTAAGAGATTGTCCGATAACGATTACCTTATGCGAAGGGAACGTCGAGATACCAGACGAATCTCTCCGAACGAAAATAATCGAAGAAAATCATAATAGTTTAATAGGAGGGCATAAAGGTGTAGTAAAGACATATTGGCGTATTCGCGAGAGATATTACTGGCCAGGAATGAAAGATACAATTTATAATTACATCCGAGCCTGTGAAATATGCCAGAAAAATAAACTCACGCGAATAAAAACAAAACAGCCTATGTCTATTACAGATACACCCTTTGAACCTTTCGAAAAAATTAGCATAGACACTGTAGGACCTCTACCCATGACTCCAGATGGAAATGTACATATCCTAACTATACAAGACAATTTTTCTAAAGCAGCCGCGGCAGTTCCTCTCCCCGATATCAGAGCAGTCACTGTTGCTGATGCTTTATTAAATCATTATATCGCTCTTTACGGGTGCCCCCGCGTAATTTTATCAGATAAAGGCACCTCATTTACCAGTAAACTAATACAACAACTCGCTAGAGCATTAAAAATTCAAAGAATAACAACATCTTCCTATTACCCTCAATCGAACGGATCTTTAGAAAGATCTCATCAGCCCTTAGTCGACTATCTACGGGCCTATGTAGATAAATTTAATAACTGGGATCGGTATATCCCAATGGCAATGCTAAATTATAATACAACCGTTCATACAGCTACAAAATTTACACCTTACGAAATTTTGTACGGAAGAAAAGCTCGTAGCCCAACTCAATTTCCGGATTTCAGTAAAATCGAGTCATATAACGATTATTTAGCAGATTTAATTAGTCGAATATCCGAAATTCAAAGAATATCCGCAGAAAATTTAACTCGGGCAAAACACGAATCAAAAGTACGATTCGACAGACATATTCATCCGGCAAAATTTAATGTAGGAGATCTCGTGTACACGCTGAAAGAACCGAGAAAAAATAAATTAGACCTTTATTATACTGGCCCATACGAAATAGTTGAAATAAATGAAATGGGAAATTTAATTATCGAAAAAGAAAACGGGAAACGAAAATTACTCCACCCGAACAAGGCTAAACCAGCCAGCCGCGAAAAATTTGACTAAAAAGAACCTAAGTCGTTTGTTTCAGTATATATATATATAAAATAAAAGGAAGAATCAATCCATCATGAATACTGTGCTACTTCTCCTATTGGGACTCAAATATCTGGCCTGGGGCGCAGGGGAAGTCAAGATAAAACCAATGGAAGCAAATCCAGGTCTGCTGTATGATCCGTTCAAGAAAATCCATCTAATACGAGAAGAATGGCAGCTGATTAGTTCCATCAACGTCGAAAAATTGGTGAATCTATACCCGGATTCCCATCAAAATCTATGGGAGTCCTACAGAGTATGTTCAGTAAGATTCAGCCACCCAAACTGCATGTCATATTTAAGGATCAATAGCTATCGAGAAATACGAGCAGAAATCCAACAAGCTCAACACCGGCTGAGACAACTTCTTGAAGATCCACAACTCGAAAAACCCGACAAGACCAACCGCAAAAAGCGAGCTCCATGGTTCGGATTTGTAGGAACGATCGCACGAAAATTATTTGGGACAATGGATTATAGTGATAAGGAACATATCACGAAGGAAATAGACAAATTATATCAAGATAACAGAGAACTAGTACACCTATCTCAAAATAACACGCACATCATTAAAAGTGAAATAAATGAAATCTTGAAAAATGAAAAAAATCTAACAAAAAGAATCAAAGACTTAGTCCAAACTTCAGTCAAAACTACTTCAGCACACCTCGAACAAGCTGTAAACCAACAACTATCCGACCTTAAAAGAACTCAACTATTCTCAATGGCAGGAGAGGAACACATTCATTTGATGACAAACCACCTAAGAACGCTCAACAACGCTGAAAAAGCAATAGAAGACGCAAAATGGGGCAAGCTCACCTATTTAACCGTGTCAGCCAAACAATTATACCAAGCAACAGCTGACATAACGAAAAAACATCCGACGCTTAACCCACCTCAACCACTGGATCATATGGACATCACCGCACTTGCTAAAGTATCCAGAATAGAAACAGGAAAAGCAAATGGATACTTTCTAATAATAATAACAGTACCACTCCTCGATCAAACACCATGGCTAGCATATGAGCTTAAATCACTTCCAAAGCCTGAAAAAATTGGAGATAAAATATCGACATTAACGATCCAACCAACATCAAAATATCTTGTGTCAGAGGCGTCGTTTAATGAATATTACTTCGCCGAACAAGACCACATAAACAACTGCAAACCAATAGGACCAGACATAGTATGCCCGCCTGACGTTCCGTCTAAAACAACCGAAAGGAAAAACGAAGTAGATTGTGAAATGAAATTGCTAATGGACCCGCAAACTGAAGTCTTAAGAGAATGCAACATAAGAATAATCAAGAAATGTAAATTGACTTGGATAAAAATGAATGAGAAAAACACATGGGCATACTCAACGTGTAAAGAAGAAAGTATCCAATGGATATGTCCAGGACAAATATCAGAAAGGAATGTAATCAATGGAACCGGGTTGCTACATGTTCAACAAGGATGCCAAGTAAGCTGCAACGGATTTATAATCCGAGGAATAGCGAGGGAATCGACAAAAATAGACTTCATCACCCCGAGTTTTAACCTATCATTAGAAACATTAAACTCGAGCCTAAAAATCGACAACGCAGCAATAAACTCATTCACAGAAATCCAGAACCCAGCCAACGTAATAGACGAATTTGAACCTTGGGGTCAAGGACTCGAAGAAAATGAAGAAAAAATGTCATTAATAGCCCTGGACCACCAAAAAGAAGAATCCAACCGCAAAATAACAATTGGGTCAATATCAGCGATCGGAATAATATCAGTTATAATAGGAGCGATAGCTACACATAAAATCATCAGCCGATTTCTATCCAAACGTCGCCAGTACAACAACCGGGATAGAGGAGATGAAAAAGCAGTCGTAATCCAGCTAGAAACAATTGAAGAAAAGAAGTCAAATCCGGCTGAAAGAAGCGAGTCGAACTCAAGTGAACCCGATAACAACGATGAAAGAAGCCTTACTACCAAACAAACAGCACTCGAAGATCCTCCAAAAATCGTCGAAACACCGAAGAAGGCAAAATCATTCCGATTGAAAGACTACAAATCGCCATTCTAACAAAATCAACGTCTTTTCAACATTGTAAAAGTTAAGACCATTTATAAAATTTCTTTTTACAAAATGATGGCTCCTTTGCGGAAAAGTAAGAAAATAATTTAAAATGATAATATAATTTTTTCTCTCTCATTAAGAAATTTCGTTTTAACAAAAAAAAAAAATTGCCAAAAACGAGCCAACAGTTTGTATAAACAGTTCAATTCAAGAAACCTAAATAAAATTTTTTTTATATACTTTCATATAGTAGTAGATAGTACAATGAAAAACAGTACATTTATCAAATTCCAAAAAAAAAAAAGTTTTGCTGCTTTAACTCACAAGACCGAAGATAAAATTATCCCCGGCCTTGGGGGGACGAGTGGGAACAGTGCAAAACCCTAATAAAAATTTTCTCCCCTTTCAAAATAGAAATTTTTCTCTTAAAATATAAAATTTTAAATTCTTAAAACTTTTCTCTTCATTATACTATCACTATATTTTCATATCAAACTATATATATTATTATATTATTTCTATTATCCTATTATCAATTACTATATTAT